AAACCCCCAAATCTTTCTTGTATCCCATTAACAGCCAACTCCTGTTTCCCCATAGGCAGATTGAGCTGTGAATTCCTTACAGCTATGGCTCCTGCGATGCATCTGGCTTTAGTGTTCCTCTGCAGAGCCGCCTTTCTCACACAAGGCAGAGCAGATGCTGCTCACAGCATAATCTGTGCTGTCTCTTCTTTCTACAGACCTTGTTTGTAAAACCAGGGGTCCCCTGTTCTCCTCAGAGGGTCAGTCTTGCAGGCTCTTCCTGTTCCCTCCACTACCTTTGGATAACCATAAGATCTTATTCCTGGCTTGATTTCTTTTCAATGTGAGAAAATAGTCTGCAATTTGTCTTGATTAGTTATGTTAATTTCAGACATTCTCTGTTGCATGCATAGTGATTAATGCATGCGGCACAACTTTCAAAAGCATTTGCATTGACTTAGTTAATAATGCCTACTGCAACTAAGCATCTGTTCAGGGAATAGAAATGCAGCTAACCCCATCCCACTGCAAACTCCTAATGTTACATCTGATAATTAAACTCAGTGTTGAGTTGGAACTTACTTTATATTGATATTCTTGCTAGTTAAAGTGTGGTTCAAACACTTGCAGGTAGCAAACCACAAGGATCACGAACTCCCTTAAATCAAAATTAATTCCAAAATTGAAACTTTTTCAGTGCTCTTACCTCCAGTAACACCCGTTCTGCAAGAACAAGACCGTGCAACAATTATGCCCAGTTACCGTGGGAAACACAAACTAGGAATTGTGGCAGAAAGGCATCTTACATAACTGAAGATAGTTTTTCTTTGTTCCCTTTTGGGGAGAACTCATAAAACAAAAGGCACTCATTTGCTTTCTGTTACTTACAGGAACCAAACGCACACACATGTCCCTGTAAACCCATTCGCCCAACTAACACTTTTGCAGCAAATACTTCTAATTATGTCTGCAAGAGCACTATGAAAGGAGAGGGGAAAGGGGGCAAGAAGAGAAGCAATTTGGCTCCAGTGACAAACAGCAAGCAGCCTGCAGGCAGCGGCTAAAGCATATTAAATCAACTATTTCATTATGCAGCAATAGCTATGACCCTAAGGCACTTAAAAAGTAAGGAACTGCAGTACTCTTCCCCTCTGCTATGGTAGCAAAATACTGTATTTCATTGCCTCAGCTTCTCAGCAAGTATTGAACTAGTAGGCAACTTCAGAAAGGTCAAACCCGCGCTCCATCATAGGTTGCAGCAACCCTCACCCAGCAGGCACAATCTGGTCACTTTTGCTCACTGGAGCACGGCTCCGAGCGGACCACCAGGCTCTCCTGGCTGACTAAAGGGCCCTCCCACCAATGCCATTGCTTCAGCAGTTCCATATACCCTGCTCCTATCAGTCATCTCTCAACCCTGATTAAAAAGGCTCTTTCCACATAAAACACTTCAGGTCACGTAAGGTTCTTAGACATAACCAGTAGAAATTTCAACTTCTACAGTTTTAACTTTGTGTGTAAAGCAGGGAGGGTATTTGCTTTTGGGTCTTTTGCGGTGGGGGGGGGGGGGGGGGGGGGGTCAGTCATGTCTTTGTGTTGGCTTTGATTTATTGTTAAAATAATCAATTTGCTAGTCATAATTTCACATTGGCATTTTTACATTTTTGAGCTTAATAGGGACCTATTGTAACAGTACTAGAAAATTTGTTGTGAGGAAGTGAGAATTCAAACCCGAGCATATACATAGTCTCAAGATGTCCCCTTCCAGTAGCTGCTTTCAGAACAGTTATCATCTGGCAGTGGACAACTCAGCTTTGGCCCCCAAACCTTCAGTTGGCAGTGCCTGCTTGTATATACTACATATCCTGCGAGCTGTATCCAGCAGTCAATACCAACCCAAAGTACTTTCTAGACAGGGGTTCTGGGGAGAGGGGCTGGGGGATGAAAGACGCTCGATCGGAGTGTTTAAAGCACTTTATGAATCAGCTTCATGTGGAAGCCAAGGCACCAAGTTGATAAACCATTTTAGGTGGTGTCTGAAAATATAATCAAGATCACCAGCCTTTTTTTGTTCGACTTCTTTCCTAGCTGCAGTTCTATTAATATGATGGTAGCTGTGAAGCACTCTGATGCCTTCCTGACAAGTCATCACCTGTACATTGCCATACATACACTACTGCTTTTCTCCAGTGCTGCTGTAAAACTGCCTTTTAAACAGAACAATTTAGCTAGCTTTTCAAAATGTCAAAAATCAGAGTGTTTCAAAATCTCCAGGCATTCTCGACACTAAAATTTCTGTAATGCTGCAATTGAGACATTTCCTAGATGATGATTTTTTACATATATATATGTATAAAACTTGTATCTGTATTGCTTTATTTTTTCCTGGAGTTATAGCCAATAAAAATTAAGTTAAAAAGCTGAATGCACTTTAATTTTGGCTTCAGATAACTGACTAGCTGCCACGCTAGTTTAGCTTTGTCTTTGTCACATTATAGTACTGATTTTGAAAGTCCTCGTAGTAAGTTTTTATTTATTTTGGCATTGCCACGATTTCATTGTTGATGTGCCTGTACTGCTAACGAAAACATTTTATGATGTACTTTCTGCTGGGACTCACGGAATATACATATCAACATTGCTTTACCAAGAAGGAATGCTCAACTAAAGCAGGGGGTGGGAGTGGGACACAGATGATGAAAACCAGACAGTTCTATTGCTTGTCCAAATCACTCTCTGTTCTTGAACTACTGGCAGGCAAAAACGTATCTGTTTGTGCCAAATTATATTACAGCTATCAGCAATAAATCAAATGCAAGGACAATGCCACAATATGTAGAGTTGCAGTGTCTGACATCTGTTGATAATGAAACCTGAAAACGAGAGGCTGCAAAATAGAGTGCAATAGTAGTACTTAAACCTCATTGGGCTGGTTATGCTGGATGCAAAAAAGATGAAGAGCAGCACAGTCTGTATGACCAGCTGGGAAGCCAGAGTCCTGCAGGGTTAAAGCTCAGGCTACCCAAAACAACAGAGGCATTTGTAAGCGTCTCGGCACAGCCACAGCAGACAGACACCCAGCATAAATGCAGGGCAGATCTAACATAATGATGGTGTTTATTTCAACAAATAAAGTCTTGTTGACATCGAAAGCTAGTGAGGGTTGTCATGTTTTCCAGAACACAACCAAAGAGCCAGTTCCCAAGTGACACCAACAGGAATGCACAGGATACCGTGGCCAACTTCAGCGAGTGCAACTTCACGCGTGAGGAACTGGGCAGGGGGATGAACGAGCAGGAAACCAACGGGGGGGCAGGCAAGTGAAAGACAAAGCAGTTTTTCTTGTGCAAGTAGCTACATGTTAGAGCCTGCTGCTGCCCTGGCAATAGCTACGTGTCACAGCCACGCTGTTCCGCCATCTGCTGCCCTAGCCCCAAGTCTCAGGTGCAGTGTGCACCTGGTATGCATTGAAGCCAAGCTTGGCCTAAAGGTTTCGGGTTGGGAGTTTAACTGAATGTGCACACATCTCTGTGAAGCTCCCATAGATCTGCTTCACAGAAGGAGAGGAAAACTCACATCACCTAGTTGAAGGTGAATCTTTATGCTGAAGTGGCATAGGTACCCACGATGGAAATAAATCCATCAGAAAAATGTCTGATGTGATTGCTCTATTTTCCTCTACATATCTAGGCTTGTTTGGTGGTACTTTGGGCAAGGAATTAGTTTTCCAGTGGGGCACATCTTTGCACATCAATTAATTCACATGATTCTTATTTTACTCAATGTTTTTCATAGTATTTCCTAATCAGATGAGGTGCAGAGGCTGCTTGATCTGCCAATAATCAATCTGATATCATTTTTCTGGCACGAGATTTACATCAAAGAGTCAGCTTCATTCTGTAACTCAGAACATGCTTTTACCGTGCCATTATCTTACCGAGACTGTGTGCTGATTATAACTACTGAAATATTAACATTATAACTACTGAAATATTAACATTACAGTGAACTTCAATTGATCCAAAGGACACATCATCAACTTGACCAACTGCCATTCCATGGTAAGCAATTAATTTGTCTTCAGTAAACCACACATAGCGATCTTTCAGAAATTTCCTGGAAAACAGTCCCCTCCTATCCCTGCCCTTGTAAATAAACATGACTTTTTCACACAGGAGTTGCATTAGAGTGTCAGACGTGTCTCATACTGCCATTATGAAACAGTCAGTTTGGGTTTTTGTGGAGCTCCATCGAGGTTGCCGTTAACTGCTGGCAGGTTTTGCAAAGACTCACTCTGGTTAGATGCTACCAATACCTCTGCACGCGAAGCATCTCGCAAGAGTTTAGAAACAAAACCCTCACAGGTTTCTACTGCTAAGATTAACCCTTGTCTTCAGGCTGACAGTCCCACCCCAAGCACAAGATGCTCGCATGTCACTTGCTTTAGTGATTTTTTTTTTTTTTTTCCAGGATTTCTATTTCCTTCATTTAAGTTTCCTATAAAGCTTTCTATCCACAGACATCATTTTGGACACTTTTTCCAATTGAATCCTAATGTGTTAATACCAAATAGCACTGGGCTCTGCTAAAATATGTGTCTGTCCCCTTCCAATAGCTAATCCATTTAACAACCATATTCTATACTCTCTGTACTCCCAGCACTCAATACTACCCAAAAAAATAAAAGCTCTTCTGTATAGAAAACAGCAATGAACTCAAACCTTACAGACATTTTTTTCATTTTGGAAAACAAAGAACCCAAATAACCCTTTCAACATTGCCCAGAAAGAGCAACACCAAGCCTGCTGCAGTTGAAGCACCATGTAAGATTTTGCTTTGTGAGCAACAGCGTAAAAGATTTAGCTCCAGGATATTCAATCAAAAATGGACTCTGCATATTGACAGGTCACTAAGTTACTAAGACTGCATATATACTAAAAACATTTAGACAATATTTTCTCTTTAACTGAGTAGTAATTCTGGCTGTGACAAGGGGGGTAAAAAAAAAAAAATCAGACAAGTTGAAACAGATGCCAAAGATTTTATACAAGGAATGTCATGGCTGCTTTCTCTTTGTGCATTAACATGGTAGTAAAGCTACATGCATAAACAGCACACAGGGCACAGCCTACAAACCAAGAACACGTTGCTCACCCATTAAAAAAATAAAAATACTTTGAAGCACAGAATTATGCTGGATGTGCAGAATGTCTTTTAGGAGAGGATTTTTACCTGCTTGTGCCCTCCCTTGGGCAACTCTCAGTTTATGGCAGACTTGGCTTACAAAAAACTTTAGACAGTCCCCAGTAAACTCAGCCAGTACCAAATATGTCCTGGAATGTCTTCCAAGTCTACTCCCATTCGTAGGCTGGACGTAGGTGCAAAGGGGCAATCACTTTGTATGTTCTTTCAAAGACAAAGTGAGAACTGCTCGTTACAAGGAAAAAGTCAGTACGCCTGTTCAGAAGATAAGAGTCTTTTATAGCAGTTAATTTAATAATACAGTCCTAAAACAGGGTGTTGGGCACTCATCTACACAAGAGCACATTTAATAAGCTGGGGAAAAAATACCACAGTTCCAGGACATTGCATCAAACTCCAGCCACTCCAAGAGGAGACAGCTCTCATGTGGTGGAAGAATTCTTGTCTATGTAAGCCAAGAAGGGAGAATTTTAGGCAGTTTAATCCACAATGGTCTCTTACTTCTTATAACTGGAACCACAAATCCACAGTACAAGACAGTATTAGTTAGGTTAAGTGGTGCTTTTGATCATAAAATCAGTGAATTCATTGCAGTCCTTTAATAAAAGGATGAAGTCCAGTGAGTCCCAGTTGCTAGGAGCAAAGAAGAAAGGTTCCCATTTTCCAGGTGGATTTGTAAATTCATATTATTCGAAAGAAGATAAGTCAAATCTGTGCAGTTTCTGTGCAACCACATCTGAGAACACAGAAGCTCCAGAGACTCCAGGATCACTTAAAAAGTGGGGGAAAAGTCATCACAACCCAAACAACTCAAACTTCGTATTTCAGAATTGCTTACATAACTTGTTCTCTTGTTCTGCTCTGGACAAAACTTTTAACTGCAACAAGCTGGCAGAGAGACTTGAAGAAAACCTGAGTACATGAGAACACTGTCAGCAAGAGCAAGACCCTGCTGCCTTTTGATCTGGTATTGGAGTTGAAATGGCAAAATCGGAATGCTTTGCCTTGTGCCATATGATTTGCTTTACCTTTTCAAAGCTCTACTGGTCTCTACCAGGGGGTCTATTTCAACTTGATACCTCTTGCACTGCAAGACCACTGCTCATATCACAGTTCAAACAAACTTGCTAATGAATCTGGGTTTAATCTTCCGTGGCCAGAAGCATGGCACCTCCAAATGTAGGGTTGGTTGAATTACCAGCTGTAACTCATACATCAACACTGGAGATTTCCTGGCAGCACAGAGTCCAAACTTTCCTCACAGGACATCATGATCAGCAAGACGTTCCAAAAGAAGAATCAGAAGGCCATAAGTCTGATCCAATATAGTAAGGAACACCACCATCCATCATTTGAACTAGGAATATTCAAAGCTTCATTAGCCAACCGTATTCTTAATATACTAAATTATACATACATAGATAGATAGATATATTTGTTTGTTTCTTTGTTTTAATTGGAATAAAATACACTGGATTTTGGTTTGTTCATTTACAAGGGAGCTCCCTCCCTTCCCCAGTTAATTTGAAATTAAAACCTAGAGGCTGAACATAAACTCATTCCCAGCGTTCCAAGATGGATATAACACAAGAGGAGGCCAGAAACTGGAAACATGCACTCTGGCTGCAACAGGTTGAGGTGAAAGGGAGACCAGATATTTTCATTTGTACCCCTGAGAACATAAGGAATTGCAAAGATCTGGAGAAGAGCCTGGGGTTAAAGGTCTCCAGGCTTTTTATTGCAGTTAAAGCAAACTCGGACTGGGTGATCCCATCCACGAGAGGGAACCGCTCTGCGGTCGTGTGAGCATTCATCACAGAATCCCTGGCCACAGGCCCGACAGTGGTGTTTGGAGAGTTTGATACTGAATTCCTTCCGGCAGTTGTGGCAGTGCAGGATTTCATGGTCTGGTACCCAGTATGCAGGTCGGGCAGCATCTTTTACCAGACCTACGGAGGAAGTGAGGTGCAGGGGACGAGAAAGAGGGAGAAGAAAATAATTTGTGAACATGAGCATGTTAAGAATGTACTCCAGTGGAAGTACTCACACGCTGCAAGTCAAACCACTGCCATTAAGGGGAAGACCACTTACTGACAGAATACTTCAGTGCAACAGATAGCCATTTAGGTCATAGTGCCATTCTCCCACATTCTGCCTCTCTTCAAATGGGTAGATTGTTTCTCCTTAAATGGCGGCATCTTCCCTTGCTCAGACTCTTACAGAGGTTGAAACACTTGCTTTTCCCTACCTTCAGTTTCAGCTGTGGCCAAAAAACCACAGTCACCAAACCAAACTTTCAGAAACTCATATACTATCTGAACTGAGAAAGGGATTTATTCTGCCTTTCATTGGGTTGGACAAAACAAACACCCACAATGGTGATGACAGGACATGCTGTAAGCAAAGCAGTGGAACAATGATCTGCACAGTGAGGGGGAAGTCAGGTCCAACAACAGAAGATTCAAATGTGAAGTGTTTGCTGACATACCTGAACGGCTACCCAGCACATGAAAGAGCAGCAAATGTTCACTGTACTAAGATCACCATTAGAGACTGCATTACTGATTACTACTTTCCCACCATTACCAACCTGGACAGCTTCAGATTCTGAGCCATCCCTTGCAGAAGTACCAAGTGCCAGAAGTATCCATGAACACACTTAAAAGGCACTCAGCACCTCTGGAAGAAAACCAAACCTGATAAAATGCTTCCTAACTGGCCAGTCTTTAGGGAACTCCAGCTGGCAGGTCACTGCAGTGATGCATCAGAGCAGCATAAATTACTCACAGCTTGATGCACACAGATTTGCACAACAGGGAGAAAAGGCAAAGTATGAACTGGAAAAACAGTGTGCTGAAAACCAAGAGGAAACATCAAGCAGGAGAGGTGCAGGGGCTGTAGAACTCTCAACCAACAGTGGTGTGATAGTGGAGGTGCCAGCCTGCCACGCAAACTCTTGAAGTTTAATCAGAAGTTTTGCTCTGTGGAAACAAAAATGCATCTACACAAAAAAATTAATCAGAAGAGAACAGAGCTCACCTAAGGGAATGTCCATGGCTGTCACCACTGCTCCAAGAGTGTTCTGCACAGCTTCCCCCACCTTCCTGGCAATAAGTGTCCCCCCTTCCTCATCTGAAGGCAGCTCAGCCACATCTGCATGACACAAGAGTAAAGGGCTCAACATCTAAGTCCAGCACAATTTCTGCCAAGTTTCAGTTAATTTACAGTAGCAAAAACCAGCAGCAAATCCAAAAAGGCAGCTTGGAGCCTCTCCTCAGCCTTTATCTCCCACATCCCCAATCTTAGATTGCAGAGATTTCATTTTGATTTCAACAATAATAGTCAGCTGAAACAGCAGCATCCCTGCTCTCATGCTAGCTCCACACCATCAGCAAAATGATGCTGGAAAAACAAAGCAAAGATCCAATTAGAAAATAATTTCATCAACGAGTCAGGTATCTGGTGGGTCGTTGCAGAGGTCACCTTCCTGCCAAAAGACATCGAGCTCTTGACCTTCCTGACTAAAAACTCTGTGCCAAAGCCCAGTTTGAACCATACTGTCTACACCCACTGGGAATGGTTGTAATCCAGAAGCCAGAAACAAAGACTTCAGACTAACTATTGCCCAGGGATAATTCTGTCACAATCAACTCAAAATTACCTAACTGGATGCCCCTGTTTTCATAGCAGTTGTCACACACGCGCACTGGTGCTGGTCCCCAGCCTCGCTCAGGCACTGGACGGGTCTTAGAAGAGCAGCCATCACAGAAGCCCTCTCCACAGGCCCGGCAGTGATGTTTAGTGTCATTGTCTTTAAAAGGCGTGTTGCACTTATTACAACTCTAATCAGAACAACATAGAAAGAAAAACTGTTAGTTTCATCTTCCTTAATAGAGAAATAGAGAGCAGAATCCCTGGACGGCAAAACTTAGACTGAAATTGTGAAAAATATAGTTACACCCAAGACTTGGGTGCTATCAGCCCCATCACTTTACCCTGGAGAAGTGATTCAGACAGGTGGATATACAGTGGTTAAGCCAATAGATTGCTGTGATCCCTTCATTCACAATCACAAATAATTACTGCCACATCATGCAGGGTTGAATGGTGAGTATTTGATCTTTGGCCGGGGTAAGACTTCAGAAGGCAATTTTCATTGAAGAAGTATCTGTTTCCTGCAAGACACTGGAAATCCTTCCCTAGTTGAATTGTTTGGGCCAGCTTTTTGCATGTGGTATGAACCAGGGTCTAAATTCTGCACCTATAAACATAGTACTATTAACTGCAGTAGCCAGATTTAAGATGTTGATTCTTTGCTTTGAAGAGCAAGTTCATGCAAGCCAGGGTTTTCTGTGATACTGCTGGGAGAGGAGCTCACAAAAAGCAGGGAGAAACAGTCTCTTTAGCAGGGCAGGGCAGAGTCTCTGTTCATACTTTCTCTGGCTAAGTCAAAAGTGGGAAGAGCTGAAAGCACTTCAGTTCTCAAAACTGTAGGAGAAGGGCTTGCTGCAATAAAACAAGAAGCATCTGGAATCTGCAAAATACTATGTTACTTAAAGAGTGAGGAAAAGGGGTTTTAGCTATGCAAAGCTTTTCTCTACAGCAGCTGCTATTTACCAGAATCTGAGAGTTGGGTCTCCAGTACGCTGGGGCAATCTGGTCTGTCAACCAGGAGGTCACAGCTTTTGTGGGTCCTAGGCTAAGTTCAGATACTGATTGTGCCATGAAATTCATCCCATCCAACAAACGCTGGGCTGCATTGTTGTTGTCTTTCAGAAATCCGTCAGTCTGGAATAAAACAGATATTCATTTGAGCATAAAAACAGGGACACCTCATTTTTTTAGGTGCAGGTGGCTCTGTGACCCACTGCTCCTGTTAAACTGGAGGACAAACAGGAGAAAAAAATTCACCAGCCCTGCTTTGAAACACGGGTAGGTTTTAACGGTGTGTCATTTACGTGAAGTGTTAATTAACTGGCAACTTAGCCATTTCAAGATAGCCAAAAGATGACTGAAGGCCCTGGCAAAGGTTCTTTTAAACAGCAGAGACCGGGAGCAGCTGTAACAAAAGCCAATCCATTAAGAACCAATATGTGCCTGGCTGCACACTTACACGAAGACTATCCAGGAACCAGACTTACCCCTGGCCAGACATGCTCAATTTCTGTCCTCACTACAGTGTTCACAGGATCTTGGTTGCCAAACCAGTACTGTCGGCTGCGGTACACCACCCCACAGTTGGGGCATTCAATCACATATCTGCAGAAGAGGAAGACAGGTTACCTCAGCGAGATGCTGGAATTCCAGTGCAGCAGGCAGCCTAGAAGCAACAGACAGCAGAGATCTTAGCTGCAGTACTCACCCTGACCAGGCATACTTGGCAAGGCCCAGCCAAGGGGAGTCAGTGGAAGCAGAGGTTTTTGGCACCACGCTGACCTCCATCCCTCGTTCGTAACAGGCCTACAACACAAAAGCTCAATATAAATTGCATTCTTGGGAATCCCAGACTCTGGGTCTTGCAGCTGTTTAGCCACATAAAGCATGTAATTGGCATACAGTGGTCTCCACAGCAAAGGAGAGCACTCATCAGAACGGATTTAAAAACAAAACCAAGCCAAACCCACTATCAATAATGACATCGGGGAAACATTTCTACAACAACAAAAACCATGATGGTAGGTGAACATTTTCCTGTCTCCTGCACACAACCTTCACAAAAATTGGCTAATACCAAGCAATGGGCATAAGCAAATAAGAAGAGTAATGACGTCAAATATGTGGAAGGTCAACATCACCCAGGCTGAGAGCAGCTGGGTTCACAATTCAGCCAGCAAATGACACAGCATGCAGAGGTAATGACCTCTCCAAGCAACAGTACAAGTTCAATGAGGATCAATTTTTCTTATCAAGGCCATGAGCACCTCTCCCATTTGAAAAAATGCAAGAAAACAGGCACATGCCTACGATACTCCTCATTCATTGGGCCATCCTTTCCTTCTCCATTCTTCAGACCTTGTCCTTGTGTCACTACTCACCTTGCAAGTGTAGACTCTGTTATCATACTGGTGAGAATATCTGCATCGACTTTTGGATTCATGAGGGACTCCTTCCTTTGCATGGTTCATGCTCTTCTTACAGCCACACCTGATTATACAAAAGCAAACCATGAGCTGATACTGTCAGATACAGGCAGACTGCACCAAGAGCTCATTTATGTTACTTCTTTCATCTGTATAGACATTGTAACCCCAAACCATTTTCACAACTGTATGTACAGCAACGACATCATTTATCATTAAAAGGCAGGCTCTTTGGAAGGAGCTATAGCAACTGTTTCCCAGTACAAAGCAGCACTACACAACAGCTCAGCACAGGAAATGATCGCTGTAGCCAATTTAAATTTCACAGAGAATTTTAGGAAGGACTAACCAAGTTTGGAAATCAATCCAGACAGAGTTAACGCTGCAGCCTTTGCAAGGAGCTGCTAGAAATTCTCTAATGAGCATAAAAGAGCACAAACACAGCAGTATATTACATTTGAGAGAAAATGTTTCCAGAAGCATTATCAGCCATAACATCACACTGCTGTACTACCTCACAGACTCAGAACACTGACTGCCAAAAAAATCATCATAGGAAATTTCAGGGGATTTCTTTAAACATTCCTTTCTTCCTGCCTTGTGTGCATTGGGGAAAAAATATAGACCGAACAGGTTTGTAGCCATACATAGAAATAGAGTAGGCAAAGAACATGCATCCAGCTGGGATGCAGCAATAACAGCTGCCCAATTCACATAGGAGTTGAATCTCAAGCTAATTCTGCCTTTAAGTACTAGCTGGTGATGGGTGATATCAGGTGTCAAGATGTCACAGCAACTTCACATTCTATGTCTGCAGATCAGGTCAGGACTATCTTCTAGTAGGATGAGGGTGCATGTCTCATCTACTTACCCACAGCTGAGGCACACAGAGGAGCACGTGAAATACTCGTCTGGAAAGAAAGAGCTGTGAGCCATCTGGTCATCGGGGATCTCCCCACTGAACCGGTCACTTAGAGCCTGTCAAACAGGAAAGAATGAACTAGTAAGGGACTGAGAGCAATGCGGACATTTTATGAAAGCTTTTGCAAGCGAAAGCATGGGTTTCTCTGCTGGAAGGAGAGGCAAAGAGAGAGTACACAGCTAACAAATAATGTCTTACTAACCTGGAAATCACGACAAGGATTAGAAACCAAGCAAGACAATCTTGCACTTGTATGGAAGTGACCTGAATGCTTGTAAGATAATTACTCTTTTCCTCTCCTCCTGCACCTGCTTTGAATTTTATAGTAGAAATAGGTGATAGAAGATCACATCCACCTCTGTGCAAACAACCCGTGCCCGAAATAGCAGAGTGCTTGCTAAAAGAGCTTGTGCATTCTGGAAGCCTCCAGAAGGAAACTCAGTCATTTCTCACACTACATGAGGACACATTCTGTGCCCCTTGGCTCAAGGTGCTGACCTGAGATTTCCTCCAGCTCCTTGAACAATTGCTTTCCTCTGGTGAACTACAAGACTGAGACAAAGGGATTCCTTCCCTTTCCTGGGAGCATCTGTTCTCAGACTGCCAATCCTTAGCCTTGGCACACTTAACTTTTTCAGTTCTTTTGGGTGTTAAAAAAAAAAAAAAAAAAAAAAGTAAGCACTGGAACAAAGCAGATAGTTAGGGTTTTTCTTGATGGATATATCTCTGAAGGCATAAGGTCTAACTGAAACTCTCCCTACAGCTGAGGTCACTATAGCAGCTGCCTGCCTTCCTCTTCCTCCCTCTCCCCTCCCAGGGAGTGTTGGAGAGGAGCATCTCTGCTGTCCAGCAAGGGTTGACCGCACACACACACACAGACATGCGTGTATCTCTCACCACAGCTTCTCTCAGATAAGATCTCTACACAGACATCTGTTTTCACAGAATTTCAAGGAAATGAGCTTTAAGATCTTTCAAGTGTGGCTGATACTGACCAATGGACTCAAGAGTTAGAGGACGTGAACACAGATCTCTAGCAAGCCTCGTGTCCTCAGGAAGTGAAGCAAAAGAAGTTAATTTGTAGTCAGTAATGATCTGAGTACAGCAACCACTTTACTGGACATGAATTTAAGTATACTAGCAGCTACATCTGAAACTGGAGTACTTGATTATTACAGTAAAGTCCTAGAAAGGAAACTGGAATTAACCACTCCAGCTCTTGTCCCCTTGCTGCCTGTCTGCTCCCTAATGCAAGGAACTGTGTACATGCCACCCTGATAGTTCCCTCTCTATTTCAGCTACCCCAAATACAGAACATCCGGAACTATCTGTTCCAACAGCTGTGACTAACATCAGAAAAAACTGCTAACACTACCTTCTTCTGCAAATATGCCCTTTCTGCCCACCCCTCCCTGATGACAGTTGTTCTCTTCGGGCCAGTGAAAATATGATGCTAATCAGGTAGTGGTAGCAATGTGCAGAAACCTGTAGGACAGACTGCAAATTTGAAGACCCAAAAATCCCTCTGACATCCTAGCAAGGTGAACCTTCTAAAAAAATCACCAGCTGCTCTCTTCAAGTCTTTTTCATCAGCCTTCTGATCTGATGCGGCACCCCTCAAATGGTACGTCATTTGGCTTGATCTCATCTTGCTTCCTAGCTACCAGCACAACTCCTTCCTCCTTTTTGCCTCCTAGCCCTGGGGTTACACTACACTCAGTGCTAGGTTTTGCCAACCATTAACTCCTTCCAAGTCTCCTGCATTCCCTTCCCTTGTGCTGAGGCCATCTTTAGGAATTTCACCAATAACTCCTCCTGGGCCTCCTCTTTGTAAATCACTGTCCCTAAGTGCCTGTCACAACACCAGTTATTTTTTTTCTTCCCCAGTCAGTTTCTTCCCAGCTCAGTTTTTTGATTTTTGCTCTGTTTTGCTCTTCAACATCTTAACCTTTTGGGGACTTTGCAAAGGTGTGTGTTTGTTTTAAAGTAAAAAAAACCTACCCAGCCTACCTGACTGTTATGCAAAAATCATCATCTTCATGGAAGACTTGCTTTATCTCCAGACATCTGCAAGTCTCTGTCACTGGTTTACCTGCTCTACCTTTATTAGCTGCAACTGACAGTTACTAGCACAGTGATGCAAATAAAGATTGTGACGAACTCTTCGCCACTTACTTTTAGTGCTTTGTAGATAACCCCAGGCTGCCTAGGTGACCGAGTGGTATTGTTCTCCAGCTGCTGCTCCACAGCTCGCCTAAGTCCAGAGAAATCTGTTGGAGGATTGTAGGTCCTTGTTCCCTTGTAGTGGATTGAGCTGAAAGCCTCAGGAAAACAGCTTAGCTTCCGAAATCGATCCTGAATGAGCTTCTCAGGAACCTCAGAAGGATGATCTATATGTAAGAGTATCAGCAAGTATATAAACAATGATTGTTTAAAATAATAATTGCACAGTGCTTTCATATGCAACACAGTACTAGTTCTCCTAATTAAGCCTTCTAATACATCTGGAACGCAGTTACCATTACGTTTTACAAGAAGGAAAAGAAACCAAGTGTTTCCAAAAGCAGTCCCTGTTTTTTGATACACAGCTTCAGATTCTAAGACCAAGTTCCACAGGTAAAACCAGAAACATCTAGGTTTGGAAACACAGATACCGAGAATAAGAAGCAATTTATGACATAATACAAGGAAACTCCATGTCAGCACACTTGTTGGCTCTTCTCACCAGACCATATCCCGGTACAGCTAATCCTAGCACCTGGGAAGGAGAGGACGTGAACCTCACATCGGCTGCTTATTCTCCATGCCAACCCTGTAGCAAGGAAGACCGAGCCTCTATCAACCTTTTGTATATGGTGAAGCACTTCAGAACTCCTTGCATCAGGTCAGACTCCATAGAGCCAACCACACTGTTCTGCCTGCTTCCAAGTACCAGCTGTGCATTTCAGAATAAGACAGACCCCTTCTTCCCTGCCCTAAAACTACATGAACACACTTATTGCAATTATCCATCGAGTCAGATGGTTACAGCTTGCTGCAAATCCACGTGCTAAGAGGTTTCTTTCGTATTCCTACCATGATCGTAAAAATGTAATTTTTTTACTACACTGGCTTCGCACACAGGTGCAACTATCATTATGGGTCACTAAATCCAAAGTGCTGAAACAGCAGATTTCAACAACTACATGAAACTCTGCATTGCTATTCAGCAAATTGGTACGTAAGAAATGGAACTTCCTTGGCAGATAAGTTAAAAGTAATTAAGAAGTCACTCTAATAATAACCAGAAAGAATGCCAAGTTTTTCTACTAGCTCAAGATCTCACTGGTGAGAAAAGCCAAAATGAGAATGTGGGCCAGCAGGGAGCTGCTGTGGTATTGCACAGCAGAAGACTTCCAGATGTTCACAGGCAGCAGCTACTGCAGGCCAGTTCATTAGGGCTCTGGCTCATCAAAGCATCAGAAACAGACAGAAAGAAGAAAGGTTTCATCATGTCTTTTGAAACACGGAAAAAATGGGACCAGGAGAAGAAATTTAGATCCCTACATAGTCAAAACTAAAACATGCCGTGACTTCCACAGAACAGTGCCTTTCACTCAGACATACAAATAAAATACACAATTTAAATATGCATAATGCAGTATGACACGAGCCAAGTTAAAAGTACTGATGAAGAACACTGATGCGAATAACAGTATGCCAGGTCTGCTGCTTTGGCCGTATCAGGCACTTGCACAGAGAAAAGTGATGTCAAACCATCAGCTCTGTGCCAGCACAACCACAGAACGATGTTGGCCCACAGAATTTAAAAAGGTAGAGTGAGGGTACTGAAGTACAGAAGTTCATCAGTGTCATTATTCTTGCCCATCCTAGTTTCTACATAGAGTTTTATTTTAGCTTTTTTGCAACAGGATACTCCATATCCCTGCCAAAATCCCAGGGTGTCTCAGTTTTCACCTTCGTCTGCCATATCACCCATACTCATATGATCTTGCACGATGACCCCTCCTACGGCTGGCAGAACTCCTACCATGACTAGTCTGTGCCGATGTCCAGCTGGCTAAGAGGATTATTCTAGCGGATCTGGGGCAGTCAGATCACCATCAGGGAGTGCTCTGCTATTTCCACAGCCTGGCTCCCTGGCTGGAACAAGTGAGAGCAAAACCCAAACCACATCTTTTACATGGTAGTAAAGAACACTGAATATTCAATGCAACCTGATAATTTATAGATAGCGTTTAGCACATTGTAATTCAGTTTCTTACTGCCTACTCACCAGAGCCCAGTAGCTTGGTGTACACAGTCTCGTGAAAGATGATGACACCTGGACCCAAAGTTGACAGAGGAACATCTAGGCCACAGCGGGCTGTGGTAGCTTTTAGCTCCTTGGTAAAATGTTTTAAATAAGCCTCCGAGGCATCACCAAGAAATTTGAAGAGATCATTGTGGAGCCTGTCAGCACGAGTACGGTAGATGACCAGGTCAGAGATGGCTAGGACCTTCAGCAGCAGCCGTGTTCTCTGGCTCAGGTTGACAGTGGCCCCCAGGAGGCCCTCTGTATCAATTACCACCACTTTGCGGACAGGGTCATACGCTGCCCAGACTCCAACTGTGCAAGACTCTTGGGCTGGAGACGTCTTGAAGACTTCCCGGCCATAGAAGAAAGTGTGGTTAAGGGTGTGAGACTTGCCATCCCCTGTGTTCCCAAAGATGGACACTACCTTTAGATGCTGGTCAGGACTGCAGTCCAGATTCTTAATAAAGTCTTCTTCATTCCTTACCTTCCAAAAAAAAAAAAAAAAAAAAGGAGAAAAATATTTAACTATGCAATTGGAGTAGACAACACTGAAACATACAGCTGGTTTCAGGATTCATAATGTCAACAAGAACGATTACTTTCTGTTCAGATTTCATCAAAAGTTTCTGAAGCACTGAGAAGTCCAAAGCAAAATAGCAGAAAGCAGTTTAACACATACACATCAATGGGATTTAGGTTGTTCCATCACACAGCTGTTTTGGAAGAGAGGCTTCACTGTGATTACCTGTCTAGTGCAACCTCTTGTGTCTCACCCCATTCCCCGAGGCAATCCTTTCAGAGAAGGGAGCACTACCCTACTTCCAAGTCTGCTTGGAGCTACTTGGAGCAGGGCAGACACCCTCAGCAGCATGGGTCTCCTGGCAAACATCCAGATTCAGGTGCAAAACAGGGGCCTGCTTTTGTCACCTTAACTTGCCTCATCCACAGAGGCTGAGCACCCATTTAGGGAGAAAAACCTCCTTCACACGGCTGTGCTGCATCTATCCACAGCTAGGGGCTCTCAGACACAGCCTGTGCTGCTCCCACTGCTCCCCAGCTGATAGACCCTTCAGCTGGAAGGAGGGGCAGAGAATAAGGAAGCAAAATTGTGCACTGGAGTCAAGTGGTCGAAGCAGGTCAAACTTGTTTTTACAGAAGTGTCACAACTACCTCAGTGATACATTTCATAATTTACTGTATGGTGCTTTTATTAAAAAAAAAAACAAACAAAACAAAACACACACACACACACAACCAAAGGAGAGGAGACAGCCTTCAGCCCGTAACTTCTCTTTGGCTTGATGTAGATTCAGTGACAAGCATCATGCTATTTAGGTTAGAGAATAGGGCATTTTCTGTTCAGACACTAGAGCAACAGGGAACAGATAAACAAACAATGAAACAGGTTAGGGCTCTGTACAAAAGCCTGCCTTGTTTTTGTTACAGAATATGGCCTTGGCTTTCAAAGGTTTCATGCTTCTGGCTATGGTTGTTTATCATTTGCTTTTTATTCTTCTAACAGGTTTTATCCATGTGTTACGTGACAGGGAAGAATATGACATAGGTGCTTTTTGAGAAGGATTAAATTCACCTCCTCTGTCACAATTCTCTCCTCAGAGAATCCCTGACAGCTTAAAGGAGCAGGGCTTCCAACCCCTCTTGCCCGCCTCTCAACTTCTGGAAGCTCCTTGGCTACTTCCCCCACTCAAGTACAGTCCAAAGGTCTCACGATACACGATCTGCAGAGGCCATGAGGTAATAAATGGTTTCTTTGAACAAGTTTATTCTTAGATCAGCAAATTAGTTTAAGGTTCACCCAGCCCCATTTGCTCTGGTAAAAGTCTATCAGCATCATCTAGACTTTGAAGGAAAAGAAAAAACAACCAGTGTGCCAAAAAATAAAAAATAGCCAGTGTGCCAGACTGTGGTTGGGAACAGCATGCAGAAAGAAAAACTGTGGACTGTGGGGCTGCAGTAGCTTCTCACGGACTCAAAGCACTCAAGGCAGCCTCACAGTGTGGAAGAAAACAGGATATAGAGAAATCAAAGTGTTCTCAACAGAATCTTTTCTGGTGTCTGTGGGAGACCATCAAGATACACTCAAGTTATAGGTGCACAAAAACGGGTCTGCTTTTTTGGTAGCTGGGATTATTAGCTTGTCATCAGGAAGGTAATTTAGATGACAAATGCAGTTTCTCTTAGTATCTCTGGAGATGTCTCTGTGGATGAAAGAAAGTTCTTGGTTCAGGGGATAGCTCCTAAACACAGTCACAGATTTGATAGTATAATAATGTTATGTGTATGTAAGCAAAAAGGAACATGATAATTTCCTCTCCAGGTTGTTTTGTTTTTAACTCTCACTCTCCCAAACTTCTTGCCATAAAAGTGGCAGACCCTCTTTTTGCCAGTCAGTGATTATGCACTCCCTGTACAGCACAAGGAAATATCAGTCTTCAAAAAACAGCTTCTTAAGTATTGGCAGGACAACTAATAACTAAGGTCTTTTAGGCAGCACTGGTTATTATTCTGGTATCAGTTTGGGAGAGTTTGTGGAAGGGCCTGTATCAGTAATGTCAGGAGACACAAAGGACAATCAGGACCACAGGGATGAGGGTAGGTCTGCAATGCATTCTCACTACTAAGAAACAGGAGTCAACTCACAGAAACTCTGCTGCAGCTGAAATTATCTCAAGCTGAGCTAATGCAAATGTCCACATCACCAGCCTTCTTTCACATTCAATGTACTTTAACAACTTGTGATACCAGGGCAACTTATTGTGGGAAGAAGAGATGGATTGCTGAGCCAGACAGAAGAAAAATCGGTTCCAGATCAATAATGCAGATCACTCCAGGAAAAAAGTTACGCTGAATATCAAATCAGACAAAGTACTGAGCTGTTACCCCCTTCTAAGTCTCTAGGCTCTTTCAGACTTCCTCACGGTACAGAATTTAGGAGTGATTCGGACAAGTCACCCAAGAACACAAGAGTGCACCAAAGTCCAGCTGATCCAATGCCACATCTCTGAGGACTCTGTGATGGGCGAGAAGGAACTTAGACATGAAAAGAGTAAATGTTTCCTAGCATGCTTTACCAGCTCTCAGTAGTCAGATGCCAAAGGACTTCCTGAGCAGTGGCTGCAACCAGTAGCTCCTGTCTTGTAGAGAACCAGTAGACCTATCCTCTAGGAGGTTGTCTAACCCATTTGTGAACCTAGTCATAGTGTTAGATTCTGCAACATCCTGTTACAATAAATTCCATGTGGGAGTAGGGAGGAAACAAAACCAAAAAAATCAATACAGCCAAAAAAAAACCCTTCCTTTTGTTGAATATGCTTGTATGTCATTGGGTGTTCCTTACTCTTGTGCATTTGCCTTCTTTAACCACTGCTGAGCACAGGAATGATATATATCAGTATCAGTATATCAGTAGTCAAATTTACTTCCCTTGAGCAAGTTCCTTTAAGACATTTAAAGTCAGAGTGGGTGTAATAACTGTGGAAGTACTAATCCTCATTGGGCTCAAGTCCCACTTCTCCATTTTGCTTCTCATCTCTAAAGAAACTGGCATGGTACAACCTTCTGCTGGATGAGCAAAGGACTCGTGTTTCCATAGTTGTGTCCACTCCCATGTCACCCAAGAGTTCCATGTCTGACACGAACAGCAGAGCGTAAACATGAAACCTTCCTTAAATTGCACAGCAATGTCAATTAAGAATGAAAACTTTGTATGTCTAACCTAAGACAAGAGACGTACCTCTCCAGCCCCTTCCCTATTTTGCCATTTCTAGTATCTGAGACTCATTTACACTTCTGTTATAGCTCGTAGAAGAAGAGCTATTTCTTCTAGAAATACTAGTTTTTACTCCATCATAGGTTAAAATCCTGTTTAGCCACCTTTTATAGTTTTAACTACATTTCTGTTAGCAACTGTCATCCAGCCCCACAACTCCACTCTATTTGAGCTGAACTGAAGGTGAATGTCTTCAGCAGGAAAAACAGAGAACTTTAGCTGTCAAGTCCTCTCTATGGAAAACACAAAAACACACACCACGCTGCCATGGAACACATTTAGATCTGAAGCCTCCTTGCCACCCATACTTGTAAATCTATTATACTTCACATAAGTTTCCTAGATCTGAGCCATAATAAAATTGTAACTGTTTAGGAGGAGACAAGAAGCAAGAATTGCTAAAATGACATTCCTGCTTATGAATTTCTTGGAAACAGTGTTATTAAAACAATAACACATTAAAAGCCTAGGAACAAAATCCATAAAATAGAACAGAGTTTCCAATGACCTGTAATTACACAGCTTTAAATCTGCCCCCAGGCAAAACAAACACATTAAGAGAATCAGACATTTTTACCACACTTTTCTCCTTTTAAAACTCTTTATGAACCCTTTAAGGCTTGCTAGTGCTTACGGAAGCAGTACAAAAAGTCAGAGCTGTACCACGACAACACAATAGCTCAAAACAAAAGTCAAGAGTGCTCGGCATAGTATTCACCAGAATGCTTTCTTTTGCTAGTCTTACACTGTCATTTTGACTTACATTGGTACTTCTGTTGTTGCGTTTTGAAATCTTACTCCTTGCTTGACCTGGTTTTAACAGAGTATTTTTAATAACTAAACCACATTTTCTTCAATCAAGAGAGATACCATCATACAAATAATTAAATTTATGAGTCATTAGACTTGTCTTGACAACTATCATGTGACAATATTTTCCGATACACAGCCACTAAATCAACAAAGAGGATATAAATTTAACACACTTGTCAATGAATGGAAAAATAATCTACAAGATTTGTAACAGCACATCCAAATATATACCAGCATAAAATTGCAAACAGCTGAAACAAATCAGTCTTCAAGCACAAGTGGTCAAAACAATCAAGTGGGGGAAAAAAAATACTATTTCCCTTAAAGCATTACTTCACACTGGCAATGCAAGTAATTCTGTTCACAGTTAAGAAAAATTTAAAAAAGATAAAGCTAATGCCTGAAATCAGAGGGAGAAACAGCAAAGCAAGCTAAAACAAGATCTGCAACCTTTTAAGCAGCCCTGAACTTTTAAAACACAAAACTGAGACAATTTTAGGCAATTGCTCTTAAGGACAGAGTATCATATCAATCATTAAACCTGGAAACAGGACAGATCTGTCAGAGCTGCTCACCTCAACACAGACCAGTTCTTTATGACACAGCTTCTAAATTTTGGCAGTTGTGCTTTAACTCTAAAAATCTGAGCTCCTATCCAGAGGTAGATTCACACAAAAGTCTCATGAGTGCACGCCTGAAGTCCTAGGTCCTTCCATTAGGTCATTACATCAGAATTTCAGTGTACTTTGAAAACAATCAGGACAGAAACCTATGAAGCGGATTTCTTCCTTTAACTACAGCCTATAAAACAAATCTGAGAAGAATAACCTGCACCACAGCACAGTGCTGCCAACAAAATTCACATCTCTGCAGAGCTCCTC